CCTCGCTTACACAGATGATTGTTTGCTTTTCTCTCGTGACAAAAAGTACATGGCTTCTTCAAATATCATTGCAGTTAAGCTTAAACTGATACAGATGTTTCTTCCCACCCCACAGAGACATATGCCCAAAGATGAAAATTACATGCAAGACAGGAAGCATATCCCTTATGCAGGTGCATACACCATAAACAATTTACATAGATAAATGACTTAGTGAGGTAACCAATTATTATAAATAATTCTTTAACAATTTGGCTTGATATGATAAATTATTATTGTTATACAGTATATCCTCTAATTGGAACATGACCTTTTGTTGTTTACTGAAAAGCGCTAAAGAGCTGGTCAGGTGCACATGTTGTTTCATTATTTTATTTGTTTATGTGTTACACTAGTGGTTCCCAACTGGGGGTCGGGAGAGCCAAAGCTTTTCAGTGGGTTGCGAGGCCATCTTGATTTTAAGGGGTGAAAGAAAACCTTAAAAATATACACTGTAAGCCTATATCTCAGCATTTCATTCATTTCTGTGAAGAAAACCAAATGATATTGTTATTATTTATATTTTATTATTTATAAATTAGAAAACTCTGAAGACTGGAACACAAGCTATAAAGTTTGCCTTGTCCTACATTAGAAAAAGTACGGAGCAACAATGGCCAAGTGGGAGGAAAAAAACACTGAATTAGTCAAAAAGAGGAAACCTATTAAGTATGTATGATATAAATACATAATACAGACAGAAAATTGTATAAAAGTCCCTAAAATATCAGGAAAACTCGTCTCTGGTCGATATTCACAGGAAATAATCTGCTCACGATTTATCCAAATCACTTGGACTTCCTGCAGTTCTTGTGTTCACTACTTGGGTTAATTTATTGTTGTGTGCTGATATTGTTTTGCATCGAATATAATATGAAATATGGTCACGTAGTCAGTCATCTGTTTTACTTAATGATAGAAAAGGGGGTCCCTTAAGGAAAATGGTTTGGAGCCACTGTGTTACACCAGTGACACTTCCAAATGAAGTTATAAAATATATAGATAAAAAACTTTGTAATATAATGACAACATCTGCAGTAGCTCTTGAGGTTTCTCTAAAAGACAGCAGTCTGACTGACTCACACTGCAGCTGACTAATTGACTCATTGGCAACACCAGCATCTGATCACTAATAACAAACACACAAAAGAAGCAAATGGATAATGTCTTGATTTATGACAAATGAAGTCAAACAAGACATTATTTTTTACTACCAGTGAATAAATGTCAGATACAGCAAGTAGACACTGTTTGGAGACAATCATTGGATAATTTTCCTGCAACCATTTATAGAGTTCAACTTTTTTTAATTCACTCAGAAATTAAAATATTATATTTCCTCTAATCTGATGCTAGTTAACAAACACTTATTTCCGAGCGATTTGTGTCACGACCCCATAATTCAAACAGGAAAATAAGCGAGACGTTCACCCTCTTTTAATCTGAAGGTCGTCTCATCCATCTCCGGGGGAAAAAAAAGCCCTCCTATGAGCCGTTCTCTAAATTCCACTATATCTTCAGCTGGTGCCCTAAACCTGAATTACGTCTGGCTCATACAGAGGTGCTGCTGTGCCAAGCACCATATACCTGTAATTGAATTCTGATTCAATCATAGCTCAATACATCATCATCATTATAGCTGCCTCCAAGGCCCAAATGAGTTCAAAGGCTCGCCTCAGACAAGGTTCATGTTCATCCTTTTTTTTATTATTTGTTCGACTATGAATGCCTCAAAACACACTCTATGACCGCTTTAGTCTGTCTGTCTATTAAATATAAAGTTTTTTGACATCTCAAACCCCCATTTAATTACATTCAGCCCTCAGTTAATTAGGTTTACAATGTTAAAAAATCTTCAAAAAAAAAAGTCATTATAGGCAAATCCAAGGCTTATTTGAAACGATTAGAAAATATCATTAATCATAAAGTAAAAATAAACAAAGACTAATTAGAATTCCCTGAATGGTTCCACTCTCTGCCTCACATATTTTCTGTATTTGTCCTCTCTTGTCTCAGTTTGTCCTTGAGGAAATCTTAAGTCCGTTTGAACTGCTTTGTGAAATCTAATAGACGTTCTGAGTGCACGCAAGGACAGCAAGGGCTGATTTCTGTTTACTAAGAACATAAATAAGATAAAATCAAGATAAAGTCTTTCCTTTTGACATAATTGTTATGCATTAGTTCAGCCTCTTTAAGCCAAAGCCCAAATGGAAATATAATTGTATATATACATTTGACCTATGAAAAGATAAGGATTTATTTCATTGTATTAAGAGCACTGAGCTGTAAATCACATAGGGTCAGCGGAGAGGTGAGTGAGTGTTTAAAGAAATAGATTAATAGTTTAGGTTCATTTTATTTCTTTCTGACAGTGTGATGAGCAGATTTGATACATTTTTCATGTTTATGTTCTAAAAAGCTGTAGTCATGTTAGTTTAGCTTAAAGATTAGAGGCAGAGCAAACAACTAACTCGACTCTGTCAAAAGTAACAACTGACTACAGACTAAAAGCTGTAAATCCTTATGTATTATATATAAATAATAATAAATTAATTAAATAATAATTAATAAAAAAATATATATATATTTGGGGTATTTGGGGTTTCAGTAGTGTTTTGAGACCTGAATGTTTTTCCTTGGATGGCGAACGCATGAAAAAGTCGTCCAATTTTTACTAATACTTCACTCAAAACGCATACAGTAATTATGTAGCTGTCTCACCCTATAGTCTGTGGGCCAGTATTGATAAGTAAGCTGCTGTGGCTCAGAGGCAGAGTGGGTCGTCCCCCAATTGGAAGGTTGTTG